TATAAAAAATCCCGAGCCTTAAGCTGTGTACGCACGGCGAGGGGGCGCTCCTCGGCCTTGCACTACTAGCCGAGGGGTGGCCGGCGGGTGCGCCGGTCGTTAGTGCGACAACCCCCGGGGGATGGCCTCCCCGGGCGGTATTAGCCCTGCGCGTGTATGGTGGGTAAAGCGCGCGGTTACCCTTCCCCCATTTATAAGAATTCGATGCCGAGTAGGGTCGGTATGCCGCCACCCGAAAAGCATCGGTAAGAAAAAGATGCCTAAAACTAAACCGAAGAAAACGGACGGGAATAGCGATGACGACAAGGCGAGGACAAAGGACACGAGACGGGACACGTTTAAAGAGCCGATCCACGGTGTTCGGACGAGGAGCTCTGCGAAGAGCCCCACGAGCCCCACTAGGGGCGACATCAGGGCAGCTCTAAGAGCAGAAGGCGAGGCATCCCTGCGTCGAATGGCCTCCCCTACAGGCGCCGGAGCTACCAGGGCTGCAGAGGTGGGTAAAGGGATTGCCCCAACCCCCGGGACCTCTAAATGGACCGCAGGGACACCCTCCGCCGAAATGGCGTCCATGCTAAAGGCGGCACAGGAGAGCACGGAAGAGCGGTTCAGACGAACACGGGATAACCTGGCGACCACGAGAGCTGCGATGGGCCTACCTCCACCCACGGACACCACGATGGAGGAATGGGACGCTCTAATCGAGCAGGAGGTGGAAAAGAGAAAGAAAAGGGAACAGGGCGACGAAGGGAAGAAGGAAGAGGACGTGGAAATGAAAAAGGAACAGAGTGGAGAGTCGGAGCTCGGCGAGGCTACAGCCGACGAAGCCGAGGCCGCTCTGAATATTCCGAAGAGGAAGAAAACACAGACGGACAACCTCCCCCCAATCGAGGCTATCAAAGCCGAGATAAGAGATCTGTCGACCACCGATCTCTTTGCAAGGTCGTACGAGCTGCAAGATCGGATTCGATACGTTGCGGATCACAGCTCAAATTTGAAGGGGAATTTTAAGCGCGAACTTCGACTTTGCGCTAAAATTACAAAAGTTGTAGGCGAAGAGTTGCACGCCCGGTCATACGCCCCGACGGACGTTCGGCAACTTAGAGTGGACAATTCGACCCTTCAAATGAAGGTCGCAGGGCAAGAAGCGACCATTGCCACGCTTAAGGCCACAGTGGAAAAGCTAAGGGCTGAGCTGGACGGACTGAGGATGGCCCCACCCGCGGCCAAGAAGCCTAAGAAAGAAGAGGAACCTTCTCTCCGACGAGAGTTGGAGAAGATGGAGGAGCGTATCATGCTCCGTCTCGAGGGTACGATAAAGAAGATGCTCGGGAAACCGAGAGGGGAGGCCCAGGCGCCCTTGGTCGGGACTCGAAGTACCCCTTCACGAGGACCGAGTACCCGATCCGGGAATGCCTCATTGATGAGCGACAAAGGACCGCCGGCGAAATCTTTAACTTTCGCCGAGTGTGTTCGTAGGGGGTTGAACACGAGGCCAAGGAGGGCGTTGGTTTCGTCAACCCCATACGCGACTGACTCTGAGGACGACGGGGAATGGAGGAGAGCAACGGGCCGTACACGCTCGGCAAGGAGCCTCCAGGCGTCCACCGACGCGGGCGGGACCACCTCTGGGACGGAGGGCCCCAGAGGCACAGAAAAGAAGAAAAAGAGGAAGATTAAAAAGAAGGGACAACCGAAGGTGGGGCGTGTTCCGAGGAGTTCTGCCGTGTCGGTCACACTGGTCCCTGGCACTGGGACCACTATGGCCGACACCATCAAGGAGGCTCGGATGAAAATTGATCTTAGCGGCTTAGGCATAGGACCCGGGGAGCTAAGACCCAAACGGGCTATCACTGGGGCCATGCTCCTCGAGGTAATCGGGGAGAATACGGAGAGGAAAGCCGCCGCACTGGCGACAGAAATGCGGCAGGTGTTTCAAGACAGGGCGGACCTGCGAATCGCGGTGCCACAAAAAATGGCCGAGGTGAGGGTCACGCGGGTGGACGAGTCCGTGACCTCGGAAGAGATTGCTGCGGCAATTGCCGCCAACGGAGGCTGCAATATAGGAGACGTCAAGGTGGGGACGATCAAATTCCCCCCTTACGGCATGGGCACGGTATGGGCTAAATGCCCAATCGGGGCAGCAAAGAAGGTGGTAGCACTGGAGCGGCTGATGGTCGGGTGGTCGGCCACGATAGTGACCCCACTCGAGGCCAGACCGCTCCAGTGTTACCAGTGCCTGGAATTTGGGCACGTGAAAATGCGATGCCCAAAAGCAAAGGAGGCGGCAACACCGAAGTGCTTCCGTTGTGGGAATGAGGGTCACCTCATCGC